CATTGTCCACCCCAACGACATGCGAACAATTCACGTATGTATACTTTAATATCCTCTTGACCCCGTAGATGCATGTTGAGTGGCACTTGCTCCGCAATTCTGTCTCGAAGCCGAGGCTGTATGAAGGTCGGATGAAGTGCAGCTGACACGCCGACTATGCATAGACGCAGCACGCCGTCATCGTACTGGCAGTTCTCTCATCCCCAGAGCGAATATATAAGCTTTAGTATGTCCTGCACTTCCTCCTTATTCAACTACTCTAAGTCATCCTCAGATCTACACTGATGCATCGAAACGATCAAGGGAAAGTTTATTGCACCTGTACGGAGCGCTGCGGGGGTGGCGCGTGGGTGTCTGACAGAACCTACCGTGACCACCGCAATTTCCGTAGTGCCGAAGACCAAGCTCGCTACGTCCCACCGCAGTTTCAAGCCTACTTGGCTTCGAGAGGCGCTTCCGCCAGTGACGGGTCACTCGCCACCAAGAAGCGAAGGCTCGCACCCGAGGGCGGCAATGGTAGAGTAAGTGATCTACATCATTTGACTAAATTACCAGCTAATCATCGATCTAATATATTCCAGACTGGTGCTTCGATGGCTGCCTCCGCGATGAGCCCATCGGAGGGCAACCAAGAGGCCATCGCTAGCAGTTCACGGGATGCAGACCTGTTCGGTGATGGTCCAGACGATGCCAGTGCATACCGTGAGCTACCAAGTCTCCTAGACGTGTCAGATGACGAAGATGATGAAGAAGAGGATGGTGAGGAGTTTGAGGAAGACGAGGATTGCGAGGATTGCGAGGACCGCGAGGAAGACCACGACGACGAAGTCTCCCAGCACGACTCCGACATTGACATTGGGGACAATGATGAAGATGTGCCTGTTCCCGTGGACGAGGGTGCGGAAGAGTGGGATGAAGGCAGAGTCGGGACTGAAGAGGAGCATGAAGAATATGTTGGCTCTATTGATGATATCAAGTACGCTGATCAATTTATCAAGCTTCTCAAGGCAGCGACCTTGGATGATGGCCACTCCCGCCTTGATGATGATGTTCTTGAGCGTCTGCTCAATCCACCCAACACCACCTTGGATATTGATGACCCCGACACTCGTTTCTCTATACGGGTCTATCTTTTGCTTGCGGAAGCTTCCGAAGACTGCTACGCCTCGATGCAAAGAGCTGTGGCTGACCGCTTCGGCAGCTCAGTTAGTATGCTATCCTACTACGAAGTCCGGAAACTTGTTGGTGATCTCACCGGTGTATTTCCCATTGTCTACGACATGTGCGAGCGGAGTTGTATGGCATAAAGCGGGCCGTACGCCGAGCTTGACCGGTGCCCATACTGTGACCACCCACGTTGGGATCCTAAGAAGAGCAGAGGCGCGACGCATGTTCCTTACAAGGTGTTTTCTACGTTTCCCATTGGGCCGCAGCTGCAGGCCCTTTGGCGGTCGCTTGAGAGTGCTCAAGCGATGCAGTACCGGCGCACCCGTACTGAGCAGCTCCTCTCTGAGCTCGAAATCGGTCAGCTACCGCACCTGGAGGAGTTCGACGATCTGCTTTGTGGGAATGCCTATCTCCGAGCGGTCAATGAAGGGCATATCGAGGACGATGATGTTGTCCTCATGCTCTCTGCGGATGGCGCCCAACTGTACAAGAACAAGACATCCGATTTTTGGATCTACATTTGGGTGATTGTTGATCTCTCACCCGACAAACGTTACAAGAAGAAGCACATCCTCCCAGGTGCAATCATCCCAGGCCCAAATAAACCTAAGAGTCTCGACTCTTTCTTGTTCCCTGGGCTGCATCATCTCTCGGCTATCTCGAGGGAACCTGGTCTGCCCATCTGGAGCGCTCTCACTCGTCAAGTCTTTCACTCGCGGCCTTGGTTTCTTCTAGCCCTTGCAGATGCTCCGGGAATGGCTGCGTTGAATGGCCTTGTCGGGAGCTAGGGTCAGCATGGATGCCGCATCTACTGCCCTCAGAAAGGACGCCGGAAACAGGGTGCAAGCCGCTACTATCCTGTGCGGCTCAGCCCCGATTCGGCAATTGGCGGGTCTGACCTTACTGATCGTGATCTCAACCCCCCTCACCCATCGCAGGAGGAATACGACCGAAATTTGAGGCGACTTAAGACTGCACAAAACCCAACTCAGTACAAGGAGTACCGGCTCGAGACAGGCATCTGTAAGCCCACTATTTTCAGTGGTCTGTCCCGTAGCTTTGGCTCTCCCCGCATCTTCAGTGTCGACATAATGCATCTTCCGGCCCTCAATATTCCAGATCTGCTGATTCCGCTGTGGCGTGGCACCCTCGAGTGTCCAGGTGAGGACAAGCGCACTTGGGAGTGGGCAGTTCTCCGAGGTGATGTCTGGATCAATCACGGTGCTACCGTTGCCAGCTGTCGACCCTATCTACCCACGTCTTTTGGGCGTGCTCCCCGTAATCCCGCCGAGAAGATCAGCAGTGGATACAAGGCTATCAAATACATGAACTATATATACGCCCTTGGTCCAGGCGTATTCTATGATGTTCTGCCTCTTCGTTTCTGGCAGAACTTCTGCAAATTAGTCTATGGGGTCCGTATCATCTGCCAGCGCAAGATTACAAGTAAGCAAGTCGATGATGCTCATCAGGCCCTTGTCCACTGGGAAGATGAGTACGAGCGGCTGTACTACTGCCGCAAGGAGTCCAGAATCCCACTAGTACGGCCGTCGGCTCACACCATCACACACCTTCCACATCAGATCATCGAGTACGGCCCCGGAGTTTGCAGTTCTCAATATTGCACCGAGAACGCCATTGGATTCTTGGGCCGCCAAGTTCGACAACCATCAAACCCTTTTGCGAACCTCACCCAGGTAACGCTTCGCCGTGTCCGGCTTTCCGCACTTCAAGCAATGGTGCCTGGACTTGTGTCCAATGACGCTGGGCTACCACACGGTGCCATCGACTTAGGTGACAACTACACACTGATGCGTGCATGGGACCGCTATGCACGACATATCAAGGGGTCTGAAGCGCGTGCTATCCAGCTATTTCTTGCCCGCTACGAGACTCGCGAGCGTCAGTACATACGGGTCCATCGCTGGTCAAAGGTACGACTGCCGAATACACAGGTCGCTCGCTCAGCATGGAAAGAGCTTGAGCGCTCTAATCCTAATGCTCGCGTATCTCGCAATGTGAAGGTGCGTGCTCTCAATGTCTCCAGCTTCCCAGAGCTGTTGAATTGAATCTCTACTTTTCCGGGTGTCTCATGATGGGCAAATTTTCATCGCTGAGGTATTGTATTTCATGAAGCTTGATGAATCACTTGACAAGTGTCCCATTTGCCCACCCTGTGCGATGGTGCGGAGATATAGCGAGCCAGATGATACATTATGGAGAATATCCCACGGCACACTCCTGTCATGTCTTCCCGGCGGTCCTGATGATGTTCTTGTTATAGACATTAAAAAAATCCTCGCTGTAGTTGACATGGTTCCACACCGTCCTAGGATCCCGGGGAAAGTTGGCACTGAAGATCGATTTTTTGTGGCAGAGAAGCCTGGTCTTGCAATCGATGTTCTCTCTGGTCACACGGCTGAAGATATTGATCAATAGTTTCTGTATATAACTTAGGTCCCAGCTGTATTGCATGGCATCACATCACATCAATGAACATTTTCTTGTAAATAACGACCAGCCGGGAGAGGGACTTAGCCAAACCACGACCCGTCGATAACGCGTCCTGTCACATAAAGTCACACTTATGTTGTCACTGAGGTTCTCCTTGCTCTCCCGCCTCGACGACTTTATTACATCTGCCTATTGCTTTCTATAAAGTCGCATTCCCTAGTGATTCTGCTATGTCTGGAGACTCCGACTGCGAGCATCCTAGTTCTGATAGCATGGACTCCAATTATGGATACAGCAATTTTTCTTCACGCTTTCCCCCCGGTCGCAGCGACAACACTAATGCTCAAAATCATTTTTCCTGCAACTTTTCTAGACCTCCAGAGAAACCAGCGTCAACTGAAGCGCATCTCGCGGTTCACAATTTAACTTTGCCGCGCCAAAATCCGGCGCATACACACGCCGCCGGATCAAGAATCCCCGCCTTTCTCAGTTCAGCAGATCCTACTAGTACTCTGAGCTCCTTCCATAGTAGTACTCAGCATCACACGAACCGTATGCCATGGGAGCACTCAATTTTAAGGTCACCAGCTCCAATTCCATACACGTCTGGGTTGACACATCTGAATCATCTCAGGCCGACACCAAACTCTAACCATTCTGATCTTGCTCAGCTTGGCAACCGCAACTCTCCTACACTCGGAAATAACTCTCTTGGTTGGCTGGAGACTCTCGATCATCGTACCCTCCTGGAATACTGTCAGCCGTACTCCCGGATGCATCAGTGCCTTGCAGATACCCGGCGTGAAGCAGAAGCCTTGCGAATCCACCTGGAGAAGTCCAAAGAGGAGCTCGCAGTTGCAAAGGGTACTATACAGACCCTCGAGTTGAGTATATGCGCTTTCAAAACAGCCACTTGTACTCAAAGCATATAGGGCACTGCTGGACAAGAGCATGGCACTCCGTGGCTCGAACATAGACACGACACCTCCCTCCCAGGCATCTGAGAGCTCCATACTCAAGGCACATTTGTTACTTGAGAAGCCGGCGTATGATTACCCAACAGCTGAGTCGTATTCAGCTGCCCAGCTTGCATGTATGTTCTGGTGCAAGTCCCACTGGCTTGACAGCACCAATCGCCCTGACGACAAGCGCCCTCCACCTGGTCCGAAGGGCAAACAACGGCGCGCTCAAGGTTACAACGTACCGTTCCGCTTCATCACTCAAGAGGACGGCACTATCATCGATGGCTTTCGCGTTCAGGAAATCTCTAGGCTGGTCTGGGACTTTTTGTTTGCCTTGCGAGACGCCGGCGAAGCTACGTTGACTTGGGATAAGCTGGGCTTACATAAGAAGAGAGCGCTCTATGTCACCATGAAGAATGCCTTCAAGGAGCTGACCTACTGCGAGAACGACTGGAAAGCCGAGTGGGTTGCCAAGGAGATTTACGAATGCTTTGGGCGAAAGCACGTCAAGCCATGGCTCGAAGCGCAGCAAAAACAGGTCGATTTGGACGTCTTGTACAAGATGGACGATATCGCGGGTCCTTTCTTGCCTTCAGGACTGCCATCTGCAACAGCTGGGTCTTCTCAACAAGCTGCTTCGACTACTATGTCTGTGGTCACAAGACTTACCGCTCCACTCTCTGGATCTACGTCATCTGGAACAGCTCAAGACTCTTCGTTAGGCACAAGCACCGCTTGCGACAAGCGCAAGTCAGCCCCGAACGCCGGCGCTCCAAAGCCCAAGCCAAAGAAAAGACGACTACTCCTCAAGAACCCGTAGTAAGTGGCTCATCATGTACCTGTGTCTATTACTGAAATGAGATGGTACACAAGTGATACTGCGACTACTGCACCGGCTGCCGAGTCGAGCAATACTAACACTCCTCTAGTAGACGACGTCGAGACTCATGACATCGACGGTGGTGATCGGGGGCAAAGAGACTCCCGTAGGATTGTCGACGAGACTGGCCAGCGTGATGGTGAGTCGCAGCACGAGGACAACGACAATGTCCGCCGCGCTTTCGTACACGCAGACGACGACAACGTAGGAGGTGAGTCAGGTCATGCAGGCAGCGGAAGCGGGCGTGATGAGTCGGCGGGTGCTGGCGGCGAAGATGGAGGCAGTGAGTCAGCACCGGGCAATAATGGCGAGGGAGGACAGGACTGCGACAGTCAAGAGGGTGGCGAGTCAGCGCAGCAGGACAGGAGTTGTGAGGACCGTGCGGCTGAGGGCGGGGGTGGTAGTGTCCTTCAGGACGCCAGCGAGATGCGCTGTGTGGACAGGACTGGAGGTGGCCAACAGTCGGAAGGGGAGCCGGGGGTTGGCGGCCGTTGTCCAGACGGTCCAAAGGGAAAAAGGCAACGGGGAAAGCTCGTAGAGCTGCCAAAGGAGGTGAAAACAGGACGGTAAGTGGTCATGTCGTCAAGCAGTCTTTGCCACACTTACTGGCTCTCTTATGGCCTCAGGCAGTACTTTCAACGGGAGCAATTCCGCGTGGGGAACGTCACAAATTCCCAGTTCACGACGGTCTGGAAGAACATGTCAAAAGATCAACAAAAGGTCAGATCCTCTATGTATTCTCGCATACTCTCTGATGCGACATGCGGGGGCAATTAGCATTACCAGGATAAGGCCGACGAAGAGGGAAAAGAAGCCGCAGAGGCTGCGGGTGTAAGTGTACTGTGCCAAAGTCGAGATTAGCTGACGAATTTTTCTAGAGGACATGGAAGCCCCGAGTACGGAAGGTAGGGAACCAGGAGAAAGACGCATAGGACCTGGTTAGGTATGTGCACGAGACACATTTGTATTCATGTAAGTAATGATTCTTATATCACACAGTATCTGCCTTGGATTTCTTGCTCAGAGCGTCGAGGATCGGTGGGAGGGAGAACTGGGAGCAGAGGGGGATGGGAGGGGGCTGGCGGGGGATGGGGAGGGGGGGATGGGGG